CTCTCGAAGAACTTTAGGAATTGCTTGGCAGGAAGTGAGCACTTCTGGCAAATTTCTGGAATTTTACACCCAAATATTGTCTTTTATTTACTAATCAGCAGTTTATTAGCTGCAGCAATAAAGCGATCATAAAATGCAGCAATAAAGATGTTAAAAGTAGGAGTTTATAGCCCTGGAGTACAGTGTTGCCTGCGCTTTGCCCCACTCTTTGGCTATATGCTGTAATCGACGCTCATAAGCTCAGTTTTCATTCTCTAATGCATTTCGAGGCTTCTTGCCTGATTTTGATACTTTCCTGACTTCATTTCTGGTATCCTTTCGGTTAAATTTAGCACTAGATGCTAACTAGTGATCTCGACTCAAGTTATCACATTTTTTTCAGCTTTTCAATTAAAGATTTTTGCATTTCTATTCCTGAACACAAAAGGAGAGACAATAATTGTGCTCCAAACAGTCACCATCGTCTTACAGTAAATCTTTTATCACCTTCCTTATGAGCTGTGTTGTATCAGTAGCTTGTAATCACTTCTTTTTGAAATTCTATACTTCTAATGACCATTCCAAAACTCAGTAGAGCATTTGCTGCTGTAGTTGTTGCAGCTCCATATGATCATAAATAACGTTGGACAAAAAATCAATATGCGTCGATTTTAACAAAAAATAAATGCATTAGTGGCTGCATGAAAAAAGAGAATTTTAACGAAATGGAATTCTTTGCAATCGTTCTTTAGCTTCCGTCCACTTGAAACCGATGCATGAAAAAACAATCACTTTTGCTCTCACACAGTACAGGTTTGAGAGATCGCTGCTTGTATCGCACTGAAAGATATTCCAGCAGCATCTTTCTCCAGGCATTTTTCTTTACAGCATTATCCAACAAAAAAATTTTCCAGTAATTTGGCTGAACAGAAGCCCCTAGCTTATATATACCAAGAATACCAAGGCCATTCTATCACAGTTTTACCATAGTGGGTATCTCCTGCCAGTGATGTTACTAAGATGCCCCCATACGCCGAGCGCAGTTATGCCGGGTCCCTCGATCCCGAACTGCATACATCCTGTTAGTACCCACCGCCTGTTCGATCTTTATGTATCATCTCATATAAAAGTAGCAGTAAACATACGAAGATTGGAAAGGAACTTCAAAAAAGCCCTGAAAATATCTTTTGTGCTCCTTTATCCTTGTGGGAAACACCATTTCAGGGATTCTTGCTCAGTACCGTGAGCCAAAATGCGAAATTACTAAGACCGGCCGAACGAATGATCGGTGTGGAGTTTGTGTGTCATTGGTGTTGCTGTAATGTATCCGCATTCCTGATGCAACTATTTCAGCTCATGTCGGAAAAAGTGAATTTATCATGATTCATGCTACAATTCTTTTATACAAGTGGAAGATTATTTTAAATGAGTAATAGAGCTTTATCAGATATTTTTTTTTTGATTTACAATTAATTTGCTGAACGCCTAAAAAAATATTCCTCGCAAATTTGGATCCAGAAAACTCCTAATTTGCTAAGCAAAATTTAGATTGGAATTTCCATTCCTGTATGTACTTACCGACCTTCTCTGGTTTCATTTTATGAGTCGAGAGATGAAATGGTGTTTTAACGCGTTTTATTTTTCATCAGCCAGGATATGATGCCAGCACCGACTAAACTGATGGTCCCAGGCCGCTCCTCCTTTAATCTTCAAGAAATTCTGAGTTGACATGGATTACTTACCCCAAATCGCCGCTATCAGTTAACATCTAAATATACGGTATTCTTGGTGATTTGCTAAAGCTGAGAGTTGCGGCACTGGTGTACATAATATAACTGAAGGACATGATGAAACAGTCTTTCCCAGCATGTAATATTTCAATATCGATACAAAACTTTAATTTCTTTCCCTATGCTACTGCCCTTCACTCCTTGAGAGATGTGAAACACACGTCTGCGACCGAGTGACAGCACATTTACAGTAGCAAATACCCGTTAGTAACACTTATAAGAGTCCACTGTCTTGAAAGTTACTGAAAGATACCGGTGTAATGCTATCGCGCTTGATTTACTAGAACTAATTTAACACTGGAAGAAATCATATGAAAATTGGAATATTCGTGAAAATGCGGACGCATTATTAAATTAAAGCATTTAGGGAATGCGCACATTATCCTGCTATTACGATAGTCCACTTTTAGAATGTCTTAAATTTCTAAATTAGGTGTGACTGTGATCAGATGAGTTTGTAGAGGAACAGCTCCTCTTCCCAGTCGCTGCAGACAGTACATTAATTAGTCAAAAAGTACTAGTAAATAATTAAGCTATGACTAGCAATTCACTTAGCTGAAAAGCTTTGTCTTCTAGGGGACTTATACGAACCGAGGGTTTCATGCACGGAAGAGGAGGAGGGGGGATCCCGAATGGGCTGCTGCCACCGGTTTCGGATAAGAAGCCAAGGGCCTAGTGTAGGCGACCACTCACGGTCCCGGGTCGATTATGTAGCGGCGTGAAATATGATGTATTTCGTTCTCCCCTCTGCACAGCTCTGCAACAAGCTCTGTGTTACCGCCCGCTATGCGAAATTGTTTCACCATTAAGAATAAAGTTTTAGTATTTTTTATGAGCGCCACTGCACAGTATCCCCCGGATCTCTAGCCTCGTCAAAGCCGGTGGAAGCCGCAGCCTCGTCAACGACCAACACTGATCGTGAATCGGAACGACATGCCTCTAGAGCGCGAAAATCTGGCCCGTACAAACTGTTTAGCAAAGAAATTTGTTCCAAATCTGGCTGCTACACACACATAACTGGAAAAGAGATACCAGATTTTGCAAAGAAAGTATCTGGTTGTTCCTGCATCCGCTAGCTGTCCTTTGACGCCCTGTCTTATTGACTGTTACTCACTGAAGGAAAAGTGAAGTTAATTTTACACGAGGTTTTTAAAATAATGGCTCTAAATGCAGAAATACCGGAAGACATAGTAAAGAGCAACCAATTCTTTTTGCCGGGCTTTTTCGTCGTCTCTTTTTTTGTCAAATAGACGATCTAACTTTTGAATTGGTCACCCGAATGCATTTGGTACTGCCCCCATTACCGCAGCTGTCCTTCGTTAAGCGGCACAGGCTCCAGTCTAGTGTTTGAAATCCACTATCTGCAGCCGTTCGAAGAACCTTCAGTAAGTGCTAATGCACTTAACTTTTTAAAATGAGATCTGCAAGGAAGTTGAATAGTGCATGCACCTGCAGCACCGGAGCTGTATTTCAAGTTGCAGCCGGTGAAGTCCGAGCCACTTTCAAAGCAGCACTTAATCTCGCACCCACTGCTTTTCCTCCCTGTTTCCTGTGTGAGTTTCTGGATTTCTTCCACTGCCTTTACTTGCACATCAAGAGCATTCATTGATAGTGTTGTAAGACGCGTGGAGTGTTCTCCCACTTGCCTGCCTCTCGACCAGTGTTGAAATAGAACTTCCTCCACTAACACGAATTCACAGTAGCCTATCTTCCTGAAAGCAAGACTGTGAAAGATAAAGAGGCAACGGGTTGCTAAATGCCAGTGGCTGGATGAGCTTACAATTTGTCATCTTGCTTAATGACCCAGCCAGTCTGATGATGAAGACTAGTCGACCTCTTGTTGTTTAGACATGCCGAGTTCTACGACATAATTCTCTAACTTTCGTCATCTAGCATTTCCAGCTGTGAATCCAGAATTCTTCTGAAAGAGTACTTGTAAAAATTTTTAATATTGATAGAGAGACAATTAAATATCAAAATTTCTGAGGTGAGTGAACTGAGAAGTACTATTTCTCAATTAATTAATAATTTAGTGATAAAAAACTACTTTCGACATAGCAGGCAGTTGCTGAAGCAAGACAGATGAAATGTCGAATTACAGTTAATTTGAAAGGAAGAAAGAAATTCTTTTCTATGTGGCCTGAAAAAAAGGCTAAAAATCAGTTAGACATTCTGCCATTTTTCGAACTTTTTGCTAGGGAACATTTGCTGTAAAGTTAATACTTCAAGTTTTTTCGATTGTGCGCAATTAATACTCATATCTTCGAATGAATTATAAACGTTTTAAAAACTTTTTATAGGCAAAATTTTGTTTTTCAGATGAAAAGCGTTAGTTTCTCAGTAATTAGCTTTTCCGCAAAATTAATTAGCAATGATACCAGTAACTCTTGTGTTAGGATCCCTGAATTTTTTCAAATAATCTGTAGCTTATCAACTGAATAAACTGTTGTTGGTCTTGCGTTTCCCAACAGAGAAGTATCATGTTGCAGTGGAGAAGTTTGCGAGCGTTCATTTGCTCCTATAGTTTCTCAATGTTTTTCGCTTGTGTTTCGCCGCAGATCAACAAAATATCTGAAATTTGGAGTCAATTTCTCAAAACATGCAGTTGTAACAGTCCTCCAGCATAATCATCGGATTTTAACAAACTCAATTTGAATCAAACTTTTAAAAATACCCTAAGGGACACCTGAAATCTGCGTCAGATTTCCCTTCACAGTTCACTCTTCATGAGGACCGGAGGAAACCGAAAGTGGCAGCACCTTATCAATAGCTACCACGATCTGATAAGGTTGTCGACCGTTTCCTCCTCAAAGGAAACCGAAAGAGATTCTGACTTCTTGGAATGCAATACATGACAACTTCTTGGAATGCAATTTACCAACAAATCGTAAGGAAACTAGTTTTGCCACTGTGAATTTGAATCACCGATGATAGCCCGCTTGTCGCCATACTGTTATGAGCAGCAATCTTTTGTTTATCAGTGCACAGTGTGACGCAAGGAAATATGATGAGCAGCATACAGTTAATCTTGACATACATGTACAGTAACTGTAATTTTTGGTTTGAGGAGAATTGATTCTTTTCTTATTGCTACCAAAACTAGGAAAATTTGATTGTGGATGAACGCTAGCTATGATAAAGCAGTTGGATGTGATTCGGTCGTGTGTTTAATTATATGTCATAAAGCTAAAAAGCCAGCTTCTCACTAATTTTTAGCACTCTTGAACAAAGATGGCTGAGCCAGGAGAATTGGGCAAATTTGAGGAGGATGAAGGATTTCCATATCTGGAAGTAAGTCGCGAGGAGAAAGCTCAAAATGCTGCAAAACCCTTCGATTCGAAGAAAAACTGTTGGATTCCTGATGCAGAAGACGGTGAGCTGGTCTTCAGATCTCCCAAAATTTAAAAAAAAATTGTGCTAACATATTAAGAAAATGTTGCTTATAAGTATCTTAGGTTTCTTTTCTCTGAGAAACAGAGCTGAAAAAAATGATAAGTATTCTGCTCTTAATGCACTGGTCATGGCACAGCAGAGTTTTTGGGATAAATTGTTATAGAATACTTATTTTAAGCAAATATCAGTCCTACTCGCTGAACTGTGTTTTTGGTGCGCAAGTGAAAAAGCGTCAGGCATCCTCATTTCTCTCTATACCTACCTTCTAGTAAAGCTCAGTTCTAACAATATCATAGGCAGGAGGTTGAAATTTTGTACTTATAACCAAAAGCCAATTTTAAACTCGCTGTCGACATGCATTGCACAGCAGCTGCTACGAGCATCTCGGTTTTTTGAATTAGCTTTAAAAATCCGTGCCTATTGTTTGTTAATACAGTAAGTATGGAAATAAAATTGTTCTCAGTTATTTTCTGAAAACGGCAAAAAACCGAGAATTAGCATAAGCTGCTTTCCAGGAATTTGTTAGGGAAAAATTTGTCATAATTTGCAGGTTTTGTTGCCGCCGAAGTAAAATCATCAGCAGCCGATAAAGTAACGGTGGTTACCGTAAAAGGCAACGAAATAACACTGAAGAAAGAGGAAGTGCAAGAAATGAACCCTCCAAAATTCAGCAAAACTGAAGATATGGCGAATTTAACATTTTTGAACGAAGCTTCCGTGCTGAATAACTTGAAAGAGCGATACTTTTCCATGATGATTTATGTAAGACACATTTTTCATTTTCAGCGTCTAAGTAGGGCACTGACTGCAAATTTCACCTAAAACAGTTATGTGCGCTTTATGCAGATTGAAAGCGCATCGTATTTTTATGCGTTTTTGCATATATGCAAATGCAAAAACGCATATTGTGACGACCCCGGTGTGCGTGCATATGTATGTTTATGTGTGCGTGTCTTTGTCTGTGTGCGTCTGTTGGGTCTTTCAATTCCGCAACCAAGCAAGTTGCGGCGCTAAAATTTTGCCAGTGGGTTCCCAGTGTATCATTTCAAGACCGCAGTACTAACACTCGCGGAAGTCTGGCCTCCACGTACAACACGTGAAATTTTTGAGAGAAAAATCGTCAATTCGGAAACCAGGAAAGCTAGGAAATTGAAATTTTAAGGGGATGTTGGGTATACGTGGCTCTCATGCACGACGTCATGAAATTTTTTGCGGGATAATTGCAAGCTCGAGAAACAGAAAAGTTGCAAGGCTGAAATTCGAGCGGATATTCCCTTCCAAGTACTACATAGTTGCACAATTAACTCTCTGAGCTTCGAAGACCAGTAAGTCAGAAATTCTTGCTGCTGTAAATCCAACCGTTCTTTCTACAGCATGAAATACTGCAAAAACGCATGATCACACGGGCCCGCTTGGTGTGTGTCGTCAATGGTTGTAAATTTGATGCAATGCAAAAACGCATATTGACGAGAATTATTTTTAAATTGTGTTTTAGAATAATAGATGAGTCGAAACTGCTGAGAAGCAGCTGCCTCTCCCACCTTCCCTAGACGGTACTTAACAGTGTCTTTTGAAGTCAGCTTAGTTTACCGGTATATCGAAGCTACTGGCTGATAATCGGCTGATTTGTGCTTTTTAAGACATACTCGGGCCTTTTCTGCGTCGTAATCAATCCGTACAAACGGCTGCCGATATACACAGAGAGCATCATCAGGCACTACATGGGTAAAAGACGCAACGAAATGCCGCCACATTTGTTCGCTGTTTCCGACGAAGCGTATCGAAATATTCTCATTGGTATGAATATGTTTTGAGCCCTGGGAACAGCTGTTCACAGGTGCTGTTAGAACGCAATTCAACGATAACTTGAGATGAGCTGCAGATCGTGAGAATCAGTCGATGCTGATAACCGGTGAGTCCGGTGCTGGTAAAACGGAGAACACCAAAAAGGTCATTGCATACTTCGCAATTGTGGGTGCCACGCAGCAGAAAAAAGAAGAGGGCAAAAAAGGGGTAAGTTAACATGATAATTCAGTGACTGACAGTGCTGCCTCGAAGTGCTGCACTCAAGCTGTTTCTTGAAATCCTTCGGTTTGGTGCCTTTGGTGTTGCCCTGATGCGACCAAATATCGAGCATAAGCACTTCAGATTTGTTCTAATGTGCCTGCACCTCATTTACCAGTCGCTAATGAAACTGCCACCGATCTCCACTGCACACAATTTACCGAACAAGACTGAGCACTGCGTTTTTCTTCGCTCAGCTTTCGGCAAATAATCAAGGTGCAACTCTGTGATGCACCAATATTACCGAGCCTACTATCGCTTGTCAAGATCGCAGCCCTACTTTCGCCAAAGTCCCAGTTATTAATTGACGAAATATTCATTGTTAATGTTTTCCAATTCTTTAAGGGTACCCTCGAAGAACAAATTGTGCAGACGAATCCAGTGCTTGAGGCTTTTGGTGAGTTAATTTACAAAATCAACTTGTCAAAAAAGGATTTAGAATTCCGTAGTTTGCATAGTGGATATGCTAGCAAAATTATGCGACTCGAAACGACTCTTTTTTTTTGTGAGTGGGAAAACAAAGCTCCATTGTGCTGAGCTTGGCAAACGTATAACACAGCTAGAAATGCATCCTGAGCACTGGCCATTTGCTAAAAACCTGTTTTTAGGCAATGCCAAAACAGTTCGAAACAACAATTCATCGCGTTTTGGCAAATTCATCCGAACTCACTTCTCCAAAGACGGCAAACTTGCTGGCGGAGACATCGAGCATTGTGTGTTCTTTCTCTGTTTTAGGCTCTCTTTCATAAATTCGTTTTTGCCGTACGATAATTGTACCATTGTATACTAAATATTTCCTGCGAAGCGCTTCAAAACCATGCTTAGTACTTTTCGACTGCTTATTAAATGTATTTTTTTTTTTTGAAAGTCGAAGTTCTAGATCTTTTGGAAAAGTCCCGAGTTGTGCGGCAAGCTCCTGGCGAACGCAGCTATCATATATTCTACCAGCTTATGTCTGGATATCATCCAAAATTAAAAGGTTGAATAACTCGAATCATTACATTTTGCCAGTCTGAGATATAAGTAGGTCTACAGGACAATTAACAAAGCAGATAACTAATAAATTTTAATGACTGGAAAAAGTCAATGTTTTGGCTCCCTAGTAAAAAAATTAATCTTTTTGTGGTTTGATGATTTGCACTAGCAGTGATTTGACACTGACGCATGTTAGTGTGTCGAAACCGTTGTGATGGACCCACGAAAAAGGGTGTATTGGCAGTTTTGTCAGTGTTTGATTGTTGTCTGCAGCCTGCAACTGTTTGGGCTACTGCCGAGTGCCCTGGCTTCTCATAAAGAGTAAGATGTGGAGAAAAACTTTTGAATTCTAAAAGTCCGACGTTAAAAGGTTAAAAATGTTTACGTTGACCAAATTCCTGATAAAAAAATTTAAAGAAATTTTTCTTGTTTTTAGTTTTAAGCAATTGATCGCTTCATTTATAATTCATTATTGCAGAAGAACTACATTTAAATCACGAACTCAAATACTATCACTTCAGTTCCCAAGCCGAACTAACCATTGAAGGCGTAGACGACAAGGATGAAATGCGTATCACTCAGGCAAGCCTTTTACATTTTCTTGTTTCCAGACTGATATTTTATCAATAAGGCAATTCAATTTCGAAAATTTTTTATAGTTGTTATTATAGTGCTGTAGTAGTACAGAGCTCAGTTAGGAATTGCTTCAGTCAAGTTAGTGGTCAGAATTGAACAACTTGAGTATGCCTCCACATTTCACAAAATGTTTGAGATGAGGAAGCTCAAAAAAACTCGAATGAAAGCCCAATATCAACAGCAATTCGCTGATAAGGAAAAACTCTGGATACGTAAATAAATCTCCTGATTATTCTTTTTTTAAAAAAACATACCTACGAATGTCGAAAAAATCTCATCATTTTAACTGATTTGTTTAGGAAGCCTTTGATATAATGGGCTTCGAGGACCACGAAACTCACGATTTATATTCAAATGTAGCTGGCATTATGCACATGGGCGAAATGAAATTCAAGCAGCGACCTCGCGAAGAGCAGGCAGAACCCGACGGAGACGAAGGTTGAACTGCGCGTGCATTTTCCGATCGCCTTAACCAATTTTCTTTCGCCGTCTTACTTTAGAATTATCAGATACATCACGCTAACAGTGGGTCTTCACGTGTTAGAATACGCATTCCCGCCAAAAATTTAAGTGCCTATGTGCGAGAACCACGCATACTTGAAGGCTGAATTTGGAATATTTAATTTGCATTTGGACAGGGAATACACCCTTGAAATTTCAGCTTTCTACCTTTTCTGACTCCCGAGCTAGTAATTTTCCCGTCAAAACTTTCACATGCCCGTAAGTGGGTACTCCAGGTACTTGGTAAGCTGAATTTGAAATCTTTAAATTGCACATGGACAGGGAACATCCCCCTAAAATTTCAGCCTTGCAGCTTTTCTAGTTACCGAGTTGGCAGTTTTCCTGTCAAACCTTTCACGTGTTCGTACTTGAGACCATGCACATCTGAAGGCTGAATTTGAAATATTTAAATTATACTTGGACAGGAAACATTCTCCTGAAATTTCACCTTTCCTGTTTCCTGAGTTAGTAATTTTCTCGCCAAGATTTCATACACCCTTGCGTGAGTACCACGCATACATAAGGGGTGAATTTGAAATCTTTAGCTAATACATGCACAGGCAACACCCCTACAAACTTTCAGCCGCTTACCTTGCCTGGTTCCTGAGAACGCTTTCTCGCCAAAAAATTTGCATATTTTTTTAAAGCGCCCATACGTGGCATCCAGGCGTCCGCAGGGGATGATATCAAAAAGGGAGGGTCGCGCATGGTATGGGCACAAAGTCTCAAAGTTTCAGCCTTCTTGCTTTTCTGGACCTTGAGTTGAAAGAGGGTGGCAAAAAGTACAAATACACGGACGCACACAGACACAGCCTCTTCCCAATATGCGTTTTTGCAATTTGCATATACGCAAAAACGCATAAAAAACGACCGAGCTTTATATAAACCGTAGGCTGGAACGCACCAGGCGAGCCGGTGCGATCATGCGTTTTTGCACAAAACTTGAATT